CGGCTGCAAGTGCCGGCGCTGGGCTCGGTGCCGCGCCGCGGGAGCCGGCCCTGTCCGCAGGAGTCTTTTTTTATTTTAAGTTTGTAATGACAGCGCGGCATCTCGCCGCAAGCTTTCAAGGCCAGGCTAACTCATTTCTGACTGATCTGAGCTACTGGAGACTTGAAAACCTGGCTAGGAGGTGGAGGAGAGCTTCAGGAGCGGATAGCTGTAAGGCTGATGGCGTTTTATAGATAGCTGTGATACAGGGTGTAAAAACACAGATGCTTAGCATCTTTGGAGTATTTCGAAGCTAATATTGAGGCCTTAAGTCTTACTACGCTATGAAAAACTCTGGTTCTGCTTTTTAAAGCACCTGACAACATGAAACGGGTTGCTGCCCATCTCATTTCTTCTTTTTTTTCCCCTCTTTAAAGGGGCTGTGTGTTACAGGTCCTCTCTATTAGGAGGTACCTTAATGCTGGTTTTGACGATCCTTTCTTCTAAAATTTGGCTTCTCAAGGAATTTTAGCTGTTGGTTGCCAGGGGGGATGATTTCCCATGCTTTGAATTCCTCTCACTGCTAAAGCTTTAGCTACCATTAAAGCTACTTACGCTTTTAAAATAATACACTCTCAGTTTTAAAGAGTTTTAGGGAAATGGTTGAGCTAGGCCAGCAGATATTACGGCAGTTAGGAAGATACCTGCTGTTCCTCCTAGAATCACCCTAGTTTGTGCAAGTGAGATAAAGGAGAAGTTTGCTGGAGCGGAGCTCTTGAGAAGTAAATACGCTGTCTAACAATATTGCAAAAGTTTTTGTGAAACCGGGAGCTTCGCTTCCTCTTTCTTAAAGGCTTATAGAATAATTCCGGACCTTCCTTCACAAAGTGCTCCTGTCACACATAATAAGCTGCTTCCCCCCCCCCGCGCCCCCCCCCCCCAACTTACAAATCATACCTTGTGTTTATAATAGTCATTAATTCCTTGGTGAGAAATACTTGCCTCACAGCTAATGTTACTAACGATTTTTTAATTTTTTTTTTAGAGAGAGAGAGAAATACGATACATAAAGAACAGGTTTAAATACTGTTATGGTAGATGTACAACAACTTAGAAGGAAAACAGAAATAGAAGTTATTCCGGGCAGTTCCATCTGTAGAGTAAGCAATGAGTAAATAGGAATGCTGTAAGGCTCAAAAGTCTTCCAGCAACTCAAGAGGATGGAAACTGTGGAAAAGGAAAGGAGGGATGAAAAAGAAAAATTATAATTACAGTAAAAAAACCAAACTTTTGGTCTGAACAGTGATGTGTAAGCAGGATTTAGAGCTGCACAGGACTCTCAGATGTGGAGCTGGAATTTTTCAGGTGCCTGTGCTTGAACACGAGGGAAGAATACTGACTGTCTGTCTTGGAATGTAGAATTGTAATAAGACACACAGAATGATGGAATAATTGCTTAAAGAGAGAAAACAATTCTTCCTTTCATTTAGTCTGGAATGAAAAAAAAAATCTCATTTCTCATTTGTTTTAATATACGAAAAACTATTACAATATATGAGAGACTTTTGAAGTCAGTAGGGAAATATACTGTTGACTTCAGTGGTTGTTTAGACCGGTTATTTTGGAGTTAACCTCTATAAGGAAGATGTACATAATGTATAGCTAGTTAAACTGGTTCCAGTACAATTATTCTGTTACATGCCTTATCTTCTTAAATTTTTCAGGTGCATCTGATTACCTGCTGGAAATACTTCGAAGTATCGACAATGAACTCAATGTTGACGTTATTTTTTTCTGGAATAGTTGCCTGTTGTGCTCGCTCTGCTGGTGATTCGGTATCCAGGTTACTCCTCGTGTCCTTTGATGGCTTCAGGGCTGATTACTTGGAAACCTATAAACTTCCTCATCTTCAGAAGTTCATTGAGGATGGCGTGCTTGTAAAACAAGTTACGAATGCTTTTATCACCAAGACTTTCCCAAACCATTATACCATAGTCACAGGTTTATATGAAGAAAGCCACGGCATCGTGGCTAATGACATGTACGATGCAGATGCCAAGAAGAAGTTTTCACAGTTCAATGATTCAGATCCCTTCTGGTGGAATGAGGCAGTTCCAATTTGGGTAACAAATCAACAGCAGGGAAATGGAGCAAGTGCTGCTGCAATGTGGCCTGGTACCGATGTAAAAATTAACGATACAACCCCTCAATTCTTTATGAAGTATAACTTTTCAGTGACATTTGAGGAGAGGGTGGAGAAAATTGTTGCGTGGCTGAACAGTTCTAATCCAGTGGTCAGTTTTGCTACATTATACTGGGAAGAACCAGATGCAAGCGGGCACAAGTATGGACCAGATGACACTGAGAACATGCGCAAAGTATTAGAAGAAGTGGATAATCATATTGGTTTCCTTATTAATAAATTGAAGGCAGTAGGTTTGTGGGACACTATTAATATCATAATAACAAGTGATCACGGAATGGCCTCCTGTTCTGCAGAGAAGCTGATTATCCTGGATGACTGCATTGGTCGCAATAACTACACCCTGATAGACAAGAGTCCAGTTGCTGCAGTGCTGCCAAGGCAGAGTATGTTTTGGGTTTTTTTGAAGTCATTCACTGAGAGTGAAATCTTGTTTATCCTACTACTAAAAAGCGCACACTATGGTACACCGTTCACATCTTTTTGCAAAACCAGTGTAGTTCATATTGCACAGCTTTGACATAATTTAATGAATAAGCTAAAGAACATGTGTTTATTTAGAACTTACTTTGTTTTGGTAATCAATGGGCCAAGGAGCATTTCTTGTCAAATTGCTATGGGTGGTAAAGATAGTCCTGGTACAGCTTATTGAAAAAGCAGATAGGCACTTAGTATGCCTGCTCTCTTGCTGCTCACTTATTCTATGCGGTTGTAATTCACAGGGAGCATGAAATAAGCCCTCAGGTTTATTCAGAATAAAAATTGGTATTGTCTAAACTTCCAATTAAAAATCTAAACCCAACTTCGGTTGCTTTACCACTTCTGTTTCTGTGAACGAAACTTCAGTTTTCATACTGTGAATTCAGTTTTTGTATCTTGGAGTAGTTACTAACAGGCATGTCTTGCTGGTCTCAGTTTCCACAACTGTGGCCAGACTGAAGCAATTGTAATGAACAAAATGATTTATACAGTAACAAAATGTAATACTTACTGCTTTGGATAAATATTGACTAATTTGGTGTGTGATTGCTTTCTCTTGATTGCTCTGCTTGAGTTTTGCCCCCTCCCCTGCAAGCCCAGAGGGTGAGTTGAATTGTAGGTCCAAAACCACAGCCGGGAGGTGCCTGATTTAAAACTGTGAAATCCACCTTGATACATGTAGCATTTCGTTAGGGAGATGAAAAAGTCCTTTTCTATCTGCCTTTTAGAAAATAATCGTTTCGAAAAAATAGATCTTAGGTTAATGACAGATAATTGCAGTAAATGGGACATAATTTCCAGCTGTTTCACATGCACTTTTTTTCTTGGCAGACAAGAGAGATGTATATAACTTACTGAAGAAATGCAGCAGTCACATGAAAGTATATCTCAGAGAAGAAATTCCAGACAGATTTCATTATCGTCACAATAAGAGAATTCAACCCATAATTCTGGTTGCAGACGAAGGCTGGACAATTGTACAAAACGAGTCACTTTCAAAACGTAAGTGTGTGTTCCTCGTTTGTGCTCTTGGTGGTTTATGTTGGGAAACTGTCTTGTTTTTATTCCAGCCATCTGTAGGATGGTCCCAGTTTAGTGAGTGGAGTCCTGGCACTGTGTATATTTAGGAACATCTCAGCGTTTTCTAGAACGTTCTCAGCCTGAGCCTGGAGTGTTTTAACAGATGAGGAAGAGATGGGGGATATTCCATTGGCTAAAACACTGTCATGTTTAACTTAATAGCCTGAGGTACACTTCTAAAAGTTATCTTTGGCAAGTTAGCAGTCTGTCTCACGCTTCCACTAGAGTGTGATTTAACTTTTTTGTATATAAAATATATATATGGGGAGCATAAATTGAAGAATGCAAGACACAACATTTAATGTTACAGTGCATATACTAGGAAACAAAAATAAATGAGAGGAAATACTAAAAAATAATAGGAATGCAACAATAATGGTCAAAGAAGCCAGAGTTCTTCCTGTTAGGGGCATCAAATAGCGTGTTTTAAAGACAAAAAACAAAACAGGTGTTACTTCACACAGTGCATTGCTAAGCTATGCACTTTCTTCCTGCTAGATGCTATGAATGTCAAATTACGTACATGCATATATGTGTGTATATATATGTATATGTGTATGTATATATTTCCAGGTGTTTCACATGCAGGTTTTTTCTTTGCAGACAAAAGAGGCGTGTATAACTTACTGAAAAAATGCAACAGTCACATTAAAGTACATCTCAAAGAAATTCCAGATAGATTGCATTATTGTCATAATAAGAGAATTCAACCCATAATTCTGGTTGCAGATGAAGGCTGCACGTGTGTGTGTATATATATGTGTGTGTGTGTATGTATGTGTGTGTACGTGTGTGTTCAGAAAGTGATTGGGCAAATTCTTGGAAGAAAAATCCATTAATAGAAATTAAATATCAACTTCCAGGAAGTTTCTGAGCAGCCAGAAGGTCGAGGCTGGTGGGTACGTCGGGGCTAACCCTGCTTGGTACTTCCCAGACTCCCTGTTGTGACCGCTGTCAGAGACAGGATGCTGGGTGGTGTAAACTCGCGGTTTCACCCAGTTTGGCTGTTCTTACTGTCTGCCCTTTGCACGTTTAAGTTCAACTTTTCTCATTATTTGTACAAAAGTACTGCTTTTAATGTAAGATGTGTTGTATTTTAACCTGCCCACAGATTTGCTAGTCATCTTCAAACTGACAACACTTAGCACACATGTTCTCTAATAGAGGTCTCTTTCTTTAGAGGTCTCTTTCTTGTTTATGGTTAGATTCAATTTCATGTACCTAAAAATAGTTAATAAGTGTATATTTATAAGTTGTATCAGTTGAAGTGAATCGCTTTTCAAAACAATTTTGCTAGCCAAGGCTTCCCAGAAGCAGGCAGGGAAGGTTTTAGCCTAAAAGGCTATTTAAGTGTTTATTGTACTTGTCTTCATGGACAAAGTGGCAGCGTAATGATCGGCAAGCGTACCAACACCTACGCTTTATCTAGCAATGTTAGCACACACCAGCCCTCCTACTTCAGAGGTGAGAGATAGGAAACTTCATTGGAGAGGGGACTTGGAACAGCTCTGTACAAAACAAGCAAGCAGTAAAAGGAAAAAATACGTAATCAAGAAACATAGGATTGCATTAAAACGAACAAGCAAGATGTGGTGCAGTATCTTTGTGGTAACAAACATAATGGTGGAAAACATTAAAAAGGAATATTGGAAGTATACGGAAGTGGTGAGTGTGACCTCATCAATAGGAATCTTGACATTTCACATCAGAAACGTCAATGAAGCAGCCAAGGAGACAGTTCTCAGGGAGACTCATTAAATTGTTACTAAGAAATGAGCTCAAAGCTGAAATGCAGTCACTCAAATACAGTGCTGCGTGTGCTGTGAGAAATTTTTGGCATCTTGGATGGATTTTTCAGGCATGTTATTAGGAAATTTGACTGTGTCTGGTTTTTAGCTGTGTATATTCCACCAAAAATTGGAGTGAGTATTTCTTAGAAACCTATCAAATGTCCAGGTCCTGGTGACCTTGTAGCCACAAATGTCTTGTTGTTTGCCTGTCTTCGTGATCCTTTGACTGCTTTTTGACTTTGACGATTTGGGTATCCCATCTCCTGAAGTACCTCATCTGATAAACATGATTTGAGGGTACTTGATGTGCTCGAACTGAACACTGTCAAGGGGAAAGTGCTTGGCTTTTAAGAAATAATTAAAGTGTCTGCTTTGCAAGGGGAGATGTCTTTCCAGGATCTGAGAAGAACAAATTTCCATTCCAGCTACGGACTTGTGGAGTGGCAACATCCTTTTCAGCTTTGGCATGAGGAGTGCGAAGGGGAAAACTGAAAATGTTAGTGGCCGAAAGGAGAAGAGATAATCGGGGGGTGGGAAGGACCACGGCTGAAGACCAGTATGGGAACAGACTTCTGGGGACTGGGGAAGAGGGAAGGGACCCTGGGTTCCTTCAGTGTTTAATCCAACAGCTGCTTTTATCTTCTGCTTTTATGTTCTGCATTAGTTTTTGGTTAAAATATATGCCTTTTGGGGGTGGGGGAGAGATAGGGAGGGAATATTTGATATGCAAACAGAAACTGCGATGTTAACCCTTAACTTTGCATTTCTCCAGTAGGTGACCACGGCTATGACAACGCTCTCCCAAGCATGCACCCGTTCCTGGCTGCTCGCGGGCCTGCTTTTCATCGGGGTTACAAGCAGAGCACGATGAACAACGTTGATATTTACCCAATGATGTGCCACATCCTGGGACTGACGCCTCGGCCACACAATGGCACTTTCAGTAACGCCAAGTGCCTGCTCACCGACCAGTGGTGCATAAATCTTCCAGAAGCTATTGGGATAGTTGTTGGGGCTTTTATGATACTGACTACTTTCACCTGCATTATAATAATCTCGAAGAATAGAGTAGCTCCCCCACAGCCGTTTTCCCGACTTCAGTTACAATATGATGACGACGACCCTTTAATCGGATAGCGCGTAGGGAACCTCGCCTCGCTTGCTAAATAGGGATTTCAGGAAGAGAGTTTGAACTTGCACTGGATGGCATTCTTTGATGCACTTTAACAGTATCCGTACAAAATACTGTACAGCCACATCTTGCTAACTTGTTTGTGTGTGCTGCCTGACTAGTAGTGCTGTAAAAATATTTTTCAGAACAAAATGGTGAACAGGTGGCTTTCTGCTGGAGGAGATGCTTAACATAATAAGGATGCTTAGTTTTTCGTTCAAGCCTTTGAACACTTTCAAAGTGAAATTCCAGAGTATGAACTAGCCAGGATAGACTAAGTGAATTTTAACATTTGTAAATGATAATTGTTTTTTGTATTAAATTTAAATTAATGTTGACTTCTTTTACTGTTGTTGTACCTGTATTGGAAAGAAGAGCTTTTATGAGAGTTAGAAGTTAGTTCTGTTTGGACAGTATATTCTTATTTGTTCTTAAATTTGGGGATAGAGGGTGTAGGAAGATCCAATACTTATGTTTCCACCTTAAGCCAGCAATATGACAAGAAACTGGCGAGAAGGAAGTCAGTGAGGAAAGAATTGGTGCGTATCACCCCTATTTTGATACTGGACAAATGGCTCTGACATTTCTAGACGCGTGTCTGGGGATGACTTAGTTCCACAGTTCCTGCGCCCGGAGAGCCGGGATGGTAGTACTTGCTTATCTCAAAGATGTCGATTTAATCTGAGAATCCTTGGATTACTCAGTTTAATGCACTGTAGTAGTAAAATTACTGCTTCTAAACCCTGTGAAAAGCTTTTCAGGTGTCAACTCTGCTGAAGGTGTTTTTGTAATAAAGGTGGTTCTGCCCTGGGTACCAGCTGACAATTATCTGTTGAAGGCTGCCGTGCTAAAAAGCAACAACTGAAAGTTTGACATGCAATCATCAAGCAAGGATTCCAAAGTCTTATTTTAAACCCTGGAAATGTAAAGGGAAAAGTTAATTTATTTTTTGAGATAGGCTCTGTTTTCTGTAGTGTCTAAGTTGTATAGATGTAAAGTTCTGGTGAAGACCAGTGCTAATGGTTCTCGTAACTGAAACTCTCGATGCCTTGTTAATGGTCAAGTCTAGTAACTTGCTAGAAAAACAAATGAATTTGATTTAGAAAGCCTTAGTGGTAACTTATCTCTTAGGGAGGAAAGAAGGTGAGGTTAAATTGTTAATGCTAACCCAAAAAGAAAACTACAGTTACAAAGTCCTTTTCCTGCAAGTTTGATAGTTTTAAGAACGGATAATTTGAAGTGAGAGAGCTGAGGTACCTGGTAGCGTGCAACGTGGTTCCTTCTTCACAGGCTCAAGTTCAATGCAATTTGGTGTTAGCCACAGACTACCTTTTAGTGACCCAACTGGGAGGAAGTATGGGCTTTGGAGGGAAAGGTTACTTTTAACGGCCCACTGAAAAAAATACATTTGAGTTTTAAAAATGATGTGTGGATGTCTTACTAATTTGTATCTTCCTCCCTGAGGATTCTGTTTTACTGATTAAAAACACAACACAAAACTTAAGCTGTTCTGCCTTTATTTCCCCCCTTCTTAAACTACTAGTTACTACTTATTAACGCTTTACTCTGGATTAATCTGAACTTGAAAGAGGCTCAGGCCCTCTGAAAAGTCTGTACTGTTACTGACAGCGTACAGATTTTAGAGTCTTGCTATAATAGTGATAACTGGACTGAACACAGAAGTCACTTCATCCTGCTGGAAGATTTAAAATAATTAATTACATGCACCAAGAGGTCAGGTTAATGAGTAACTATGATGTGAATGTTGTGTAGGATCAAACCTAGGCTTAGAGATGCTGTAAAAGGGAGGATGCTTGAACTGCTACATTGGAGAGCGCTGTTATTTTCTTGTAATATTGCGAATAAAGGCTGCCATCCTTGGAGGGTGGCAGACTTGCTGGGAGATGCTTTGCATCATCTCTATATGGAGAGGCTTGACTCAGCCGAGTTACCTTTATCTTTCTGGCAGACTTGGCAAGACCAAGCTCTGCTGTCCTCTACCTGGGAAGGTTTTTTTCCTAGATGCTAAAACTGATTAGCACAGTATATGCTCCACTAGGTTCTTCCCTTTCTCTTCCTTCCCCTGCACAGTTGTCATACGGTGTGTGACTGATGTGCTTTCAGTTCCTCTGTTCATCACCATCGTAGGCCAGGTGTCAAGGTTACCACCAAGGTTTTACTTACCAGAAATGTAAATGTTGACTGAAGTGCAGCGGCAGCACTAATCTGAAATACAAATATTGTTACAGATGGAGAAATCTAGGTCTCAATACATTTCTCCTCCTAGCTCTAGGTAGCCCCTGCTGATAAGAATTGCTACAGGCAACCGTGCTCCTATGAAACCAGAAAGTGAGTGGTTGCGTATCTAGCAGAAATCCTTATTACCCTCTACTCCTCCTCCCTTTAGTGCTGAGTCTAAGCAGTGCTGTTGTAGGAAGGGTTTAAAGAGGAATTTTAAGTATTAAGAAATAGGATAAACTATATTCCAGCTGCATTGCTAATTATTTTCAATTCCAAAGATGCAGCATGGTCTGTAAGAGCGCTGAGGATTCTTCCTGGCGCAATTCTTTGCTGCTGGCAGGGAGGGTTTCAAAGTAGCTGTTGTACATCCAGGATTTCGTACAGATCATGTACGAATCAAGAGAATCTAGAAAAACACCTCTTTTTCCTTAAAGTTGATATATTTGGAGATGATTATTTTTAAAAGTGTTAGTGCCTTAAACAGAATAAAATATTTCCACTAATTACAGTTTGTATGAATTACTGCTTGTGAAAGTCAGTGGCTGATATCCTTTTGAATAGCTAATTCAAAACAAGAACATGAGAAACTGTGGCTTCCCCCTTCCTCAAAGCTGTGATAAAGGCGATAGCCTACAATAGTTTGTGGCAACATTTAATGACTTGCTAAATATACGCAACTCTGCAACGTTCACGCAGGGCATATTAATTTAGGGGAAGTCCTTAACACTTAAACTAGGACTGGAGTTTAGAAGGGAAGAGGGGAAGTTTGTCACGCTACTTTGCCAGCAGTAAAGACTGATGTTTCATTATGTTGACCGCCTCCATAAAGGAGCTCTCCACACTGGGTAGAGAAGCCTTAAAACATCCAGCCCTCTGGGTTTATATGCTTTTTGTCTGTTAGCACCAAGGAAACAGTTCCAGAACTGAGCTGATTTCAACTAACTGTAGGTCCAAACCACTTGTTTCAGGGGGAAGTTTAACTTGTTATAAACTGAAAAGAATGGACTGCCTACGAAAATAAACTAACAGCATCACGTACCTCCAAGGATCAGTCCACAGGGACAGATGCTTGCTTTAATACGCATGCTACCACCTTTTATTGCAAAAAAACAGTAATAGAGATTCGCTAACTTAGTATGATTCAGATTTGAATTTCATTATGAAAAGGCATTTGCAATGCTGCAGACACCACTGCTGAACGTAGCCTTTTCATGTGCTTGCAATAATTTTTGTAGTCTAACATCTAATAAATGCTTATGTTACCTTTACTGTAGTACAAACATGACATTTCTTGAAAGGTATGTACGGCAGCATAGTAGGTATGGTCAAGACAGCATCCATGGCCATTATTTAAGCAGGGAAAATTTGGAAGTAAGCCTGTTACATTTGCGTTTTACAAAACAGCAGACTCAACAGCTGCACGCTTGTCATTCTTCCCCCACACAGCTCAAGACTGTGTTGTTCCACACTTCGAAAAGTCACGCTGCACAACCCTTCATCTTATAATAGGCATTTGTGCATTTGGTTGGGTTTTTTTTTTTTGAGACTGCATTTATTGTAAACAGGATTACTGCACCTCTTTTCCAAGAAAGTCGGGAAAAAAGAAAGTCATTGATAAAAGAAAGTGTATTACCATTGTTGGTAACAGATAGCTGTTCTTTCCATATACAGTAGCAAGGTGGGAAACGAGGTCTTTTATATAAGAGCTTTGACCTAAAATTCTTAAGTTCTATCACACTTCCAGTTATTTTTAATGAAGGCATACACTATGCAGAGTACAAGAAACATTTGGGATGTATATGAGTTAAGGCTGTTCTCCCCCAGCTGCCCCCCCCCCAATTCAACTTTTTTTTCTAGAAGTGTTTTTAAATGAAGCAAGCACTTAACGCCTGATAGCACTATAGCAAATATATATTTCAACTTCAACATTTCCAAACAGGAAGAAACAAAGAAAACATTTGACATCTCAAAGTATGCTTCACAGGTCAACAATGAAAGACAAAATCATGCACGCTTCTCAGTTTCCAAGCTTACGTTATTATACAGTGTACTCAAATCTACTTTCCAATAAACTTGTTCGTACCTCATAAAAAGTATCATATACACAGAAACCAAAGCCCACATCCTTCCCAACGAAAAGGTAGCCTGAAAAAAAACTCACATCACATCAGAGAAAAAGTTGATATTTTTCTCCAGTGGCATCATATGTGCTTTCAGGTTCGTTAAGCATACACCCAACAACTTAAAACAGTGTTTAAACACTGGCTAGGCAAATATCCTAACACGGTATCTACCCAAGAGGTACCTGCAAATACACCTAAGCAATAAAGGAAACGCGTTTAAACCTAAACTGAAATACCCGAATGCTGAAAGATTGCCTTCAAAGTTTCATTTTACCCTCCTCAGAGAAGGGCCTTACAGTGCAATACAGAACAATGATATCAAGAAGAATTCTCATGTTTGTGTTCCCAAACTATTTCGAATATTATTGTTCCCAAACCTTTTGTTAGGAGAAACCTACTGCTCTTCCCTTCTCGCATGTTTGGGCAGGTAAGCCTAAGTCCCAGGATGGGTGAACAACACTGACTAACTTTGTCCCCTCCTTAAAATCAAGGGTCACTTTGGCCGATGATAGAACTACGCCCGTCACAATTAAAAAAGTGGGAGTTTAATGAACACTTCTGAGATTACAAGCCAGTTATTTTTACATCTACCATAAGCATTGCTATGAAATTACTGCAATAAGAAGAATTTCTATTAAAGCAGCACGTTCCAAAGTCAGAAAGCGTGTAACTGAAGTAGCTACAGGTGAGGATTATAGCATCTCCGATTTTCACTGTTATTCCCTTAACCGAGCCTGTAGATTTTTCTTTAAACACACGCTAAGTTTGTGCTAGAATTTGTTTTTAAGTTGCAAATAAGCAAGAAAAGGTGGACTCAATGCATCAATTTGCTATCTGCCATCCACTTCTTGGAAGGTCGCTAGGGAAGTGATTAGTAGCAATTTAGAGGTTTACGTTTTCTATTCGGCCTTCCCTAGCCTCTCTAGAAACTACCGTGAATGTCATTACTGCCTTCATCTTTCAGCCTGATAAGCCCCTGCAGCATTCTGGTTTAGCTGGTATTAGCAAATTAAACTTAAGACATACCTAATGGTCCGCTCCACCAAGAATCAGCTTTACAGTGTCAGGCACAGCTATCCCGGAATTTTTCCTTCGGGGCTTTCTTAAGAAAATGGCAACATAGGAAAACGAGGCAGTACACGGAATAACAGCAGAATTGCAGTGATGAGTCAGATAAAGTTACGCAAGACCATACTTATCCCCCAAATTAAGGGGCTGTCCTCCAACACATCTGCTAGTTTCCCATTTTCCTAAAGCTACTATTACAGCTAGACTTTCAGCATATACCTTAAATTGGAATATTTCATTGCCTTCCCTCTCAAGCATTCACTGCACCCAGCTGTGGTCTCTGGAAACTTTCCACATCTGTTTGCAAGACAGCTTAATGCTAAGCAAGCGTCCCTGCCATCGCGGAGGAATCCAACAGATTATTTCTGACACAGCGAGGACCGGGCAGTTTGTAACATGGCACTGTAGAGTCATCACTGAGGCAGCAAGAAGCTCGCTCGCTTCTGAACTCGCCTAGATGTCATTCATTAAGTCTGGAATTAAGTTCAGCAAAATGAGTTTTGAACGTGAGTTAGCTTGTTGCAGCTCCTTGCCAGGTCTGCTAGCAACCCTCCCAATTGCAGCATCAGACTGTTAGTCACACCCTTAGTTTGACAGAGCACATCCGAAGCCAAGACATTCCCATCTTTGCCCTCTGCTGGGTGCTGTGGATAAAGCAATAAACTGCACTTCCAGAAATACCAGACTGAGTATTTGTGTGAATTCTGAAAGTGTTTCTTTCGCCTTCAGGCATTGTATTCAGAAGCGAAGTGCAGAGAAATACTAACTCACACAGGGAGGGGAAAAAAAAATCAGCTTTTAAACAAGTCTGACAACTAGTCAACTTTTCTCACTTCACACCACGTTTTTCATACAAATCTTAGTCAGCAGCTTCTCACCTACTGTTTAAGTGAGCTCATAAAAAAACCCACAATAGCAAGATGTATTGCCCCACACAAAAGAATCAGAGTAATATATAGTTTTGTTGACTCAAAATTAATAATTTTCCCTGACAGAGACCTTCCTCTGGAAGAACAAACTCCAGTCTTATATCTTTTTTCATATTAAAGTGTGCTTTTTCAGATTTAAGAATATATATGGCTTAAGATTTATACAGCTGTTCCTTAAATTGCATGTCTAATCCTACTCATCAAATTCTAAAGTCCACCCAGACATATCAGATAAAACACAAGACAGAAAGCCAAGCCCACGCCTGAGAAGAGTCTCCAGTAACAGATCCGATGTCACACCCGGTGACAAGCTTGACAGCACTCTGAAACCAGCTTGTACATGTATGGTCCTTAACTGATTCATCTGCCTTATTCTGAAAGAACCCTCTCATTACAGAAATATAAAAGACTCTATTTATGCATTGATAGACAGGTGTTGTGCTTGTATGTGTCTTTAAACTGCCAGCCATGTGGAATTCCTAGAAAATTTAGTCCAGTGCACAGGAAACAATAGAAAAAGTAAAGACTTAGATTCACCTAAAATTGTAAAGACCTATACCTAAATAAAAACAAAACAAAACACAAGTAGTTTAATGCTGATTGCTAAAGGCAATACCACCTAGATTCATATTTTGGGGCTACAATTAACACAGTAGTTTAAAGAAATATGCCTAACTCTAAACTTAGACACATAGCACTGCATGACCTAGCTTAATAATAATGTTGTTTTCTCAGGATTTAATCCACCAAGCTATCTGTAATGGTGATCCATGCAAAAAGCTTCCTTGGGCAGGGAAGAAAAAATCCCAAAGAAGTCTAGTTACATTCAGTGACTTGTTAGAATCTAAGAGACTTAAAAACCCTAAAATGCTCTCAAAGGAAAAAAGAAAAAAAAAAAGGGGGTGGGTGGGAAATTACATCACCACGTAATAGCCTGTGAAGTGCACCTCAGTTGATGTTATTTCCCTAAAAGTAGCTCAGAATGAGGTATTCAAGGTCTATTGTCACTACATGTCTACATAAATATACAGCTTTCCAGGTTTACCTAGAGTATTTTCAACCCCTGAAAGGTGAAGTGGTTGTAGGGTGAAACAGAAACATGCTCTTTCTCTGCATACCTAGTACGTATGTACTCCAGTGTACCAATGGATCAGCATCCATTTCCTTTTACTCCACATATTTATGCTGATCCACTCCTATTAATTTTTTTTGCATAAGCTTATTTTAAGCATCAAATAGAAAATAGCACCAAGTGTTATTAATCTTGCAACAGTGGCTGGGCAGCTTCAGTAAGTTGCATTTGCATGGTATTTGCTTGGGTGAGGACAAAATGCTTAACAAACACCACAATAAAAACCACAACAAGGAAGCTGCCCAGAAATATTCCTACAACAGTAGCATAGGTGTCTGCTCCAAAGGCTACAGGAACTTCTTCAGCAAGTATATCTTTCACAGCGTTGAATGAACCATTGTTTGGCAGTGGGTTAATACCAAGGAGATGGCACAATAAGGGATACAAGTCTGTAGCATTCATGACTTCTTTGGTGGCATTCTTTCTGAAAGCAGGCCCAACTGCCAAAAAAATTGGATGCATTTCTGGTAAGACGTTGTCATATCCATGATTACCAACTAGAAAGAAAAGATAGATAAAGGTCAATATTCTGAAGCTGCAAAACAAGCATTGAACCTTTTCCTAGAATTAGCATAATGCAGAAAAGGAACAGCCATAATTTATTCTTGCAGAGGTTTAGAGGAACCATTTTAATCAACAGCACATATGTCTCCTAGCAAATACCAAGTCTCACAACTACAAAGAGAAGATGCCTTAAAAAAAGAATGGAGAGCACTACTTAAAAAAAAAAAAAAGAAAAAGAAAATAAAAGGTAAGCTTGCATGGCAGTAACAGCACTGTCAATGGCATGCTGTGCTACATCCAGGTTTCCTTGGTTTTCCTCAAGGAAAAACTCCAACTTTGCAACTGGACCAGATCTCTTAGGAAAAAAAAAAAATCCATGTAGAGACAGATTGTCTGTTTGACTCCTAGCAGCAGACAGAACTTAAGCTCTGACTGCTCTGACGCTGTCCCATTTTATGCACTGTCTGCTCATCAACAAGGAAAATGTTTACAGATCTCACTAGTGGGTCTCCAGTGCCCCTTCCTTACGGGGGCACTAAAAACTCTGAACAAGTCAATAAACATGCAGGCATCAAACGCTGCTCTCATCAGCTATCAACAACTGAAAAACTTGTTAAGTCTTGCAGGTAACGCTCTTCAGCTTCATAACCAGCAGCAAAGTTTAAAAGGTTTTCAATTAAGAAACTTAAGAACTGACCATATGACACCTGTATTTTTCCTCCTAGCTAACCAAAAGTTACAGTCTACTGTCTGCATTCTACCTATAATAAATCTCACAGCCCCAAGGTGAGGAACTTAGAAGTGGTTTTTTTTTCCTCCAAATCACCTAGAATGCATCTTATCCTTATAAGGCAAATGAAAATCACGGCTGTACAGTAACACAATATTCAAAGACTCTTTCTAGCAATAGAACAAGGTTACTGTAAGCGTAGGCATCCACAGAAGCTGAGGACTTTCAGAAAGCATTCTTGTATTTCCAACCCAACCCTTCTCCAGTAAATAAATAGTACATGATAAAACAACGCCATTCGTCATCTATTCAACATGTTCAGTTACAACTTTTTTTTTTAATCTCTCAGGAAGTGCTTGTCAGTTTGCTAGATCTCGCAAGAAGACCTCAAGTATGCGGCCACTAAAACATGTGAATGATCTTATCTCACTAAGTTTAATTTTTAGAAATGGAAGTCCAGTTCCCCCTCCCCTAATAGTACAGTGCTTCCCATCCCATCAGGAAAAAAAAAAAATTATAAATTCCACACACTTAGCGTCAGAGTTTTCTCCTCCAGTCTTAAAAAAAAATTAAAAAAAAAATAACATTTGTTGAGATTGGGAGAAAAAGTACCATGTCAGGTCTCCGAGTAGGAAGATACAGCAAAACATTGTAAAGACAGAATACTTACATTGAAAACCGTCTGACTTATTATATACAATTTCCCATCCTTTATCAGCCACTGCTAAGATGGGCTGAATTTTACTGTTGTGTTTGTAATGTAATCTATCTGGAATCTGCTCCTTTTTATACACAGTCATGTTGGGATGAGCATTGGCCAAAGCTTCATATACTTCATCCAGTTTGCCTTCAAACAAACAAAAGAAACAAAAGACAAAAACATACCAATGTTTACTGAACTCATCAGCAGTTTAAATACAACTGAAAGAAGAGGGCAAAATGCACTTTCCCCAAAGCTAATTACAGCTGTAAGAGACAACAGCGGACTACCGCGTGCACAGAAGTTACTGTGAGAAATCCAGAGCGTCATTCACAGTAAGGTCACACCTGCCATCAGACTTCACAGCCTGTGCATAAGCAGTAGGTGCCTCGCCAATTTTAGAAAAATCCCTCATTTCATAGTTATCAGAACGTTAGCAGAAGTTATCAGAAGCTTCTCACAAGAATGAGTTAGAAAGCATTCAGTTAAGTCTGACAGAAAAGAAACCAGCTCCTCCTAGCTCCATGTAAAGCCTGAAAGCAAGAAGATAGCTCCTAAACCTGTTTATGACGTAATGTGCGCATTAAGGCCATATTTTGTCTTTCCCCCGGTTGTCTATGATGACAAGTGACACTTTTATTTATTTTAAAGCAGTTTAATTGTTAGTTGCTTTCCTTTAAAAGGCCAAAGAGAGCAGCCACTTTGTTTCTTGGCATCTCTGAAAATTTATTTCTGAGTGAACCCAACCATTTATTCCTCCTTCTACAAGATGCTCCAATAAACAGCTACATATTTGGCCTCATTTGATTCCCAGTTTTGATCTTCTACCATTTTGATGACAAGTTTAGCCAATTCAGAAAGAGTAGCTAGTTTGCTGCTACGCACCATGTAACATCATAGTATTAGCAATTCATTGCCTAGGGGTAAGCAAAACGAGCTTGCATTAATCCTTCAACAGAAGCCCTCACGTCACCGTCCAGATGCCACTAACAGGTTAGGAGCTGTACAAAGCCTGCAGAGGCCTAAGCAGGGAACACAGGACAGACATACGAAGGGACAGGTTGGACTGGCAGATGAAGCTGGTACTTTTGGTCTAGAACTGTCAGCCACTCCGTATTCCATAATGGCTACCAGCACTACCTACTCCTTTCTGTTCTTAGTGTCTACTCCTGTCCCTTCCCTGGTCATCTACTGCATAGTGAGTGTAAACCCTCAAGAGCTGTATTAACACTACCAAATAAATGGGTGTTTTCCACCCCCAATTTTTTATTTGCTTATTTCCAGTTTCTGAGCTTTTCTTTCCAGTAAAAGTCACTGAACAGCTGGAAAGCAGTTGGACAAGCTGGAACACCAGCGCACAGAAAGGAGGAACCGGGACACACAGACAGGAACACAAAAGCAAGTTCAGGAATCTGAGCAAGTTTCTTCAACCTCCCCCCCCCCCCCCCCCCCTCCATTTAAGCACAGATTCCTATTGAGGGCTATGTGGTGTATATAACAGACTTGTGTTATATACCAGATAACTCAGCTCCATGACTTATTTAAGTACTTTGTGCTACACACGTGCACAATCCAGCTGGACAGCTGAGTTCTCAGCTAGCCTCTGCAGGCCAGTTTCAGCACCACAAGTTCTGAAGCACGATTGGAAGATGTTTACATTTTCTTTGTGGCCAACGCTGCCGTGTTTAGCAGACGAGTGGGATTTAAGCACGTCCTGTCATTTTGACGTATCATTTCTCGCCAGTTCTGCCTCCACGGTTAGCTGTACATCCTGCAGTGGGTGTTCCTGCGAGTCAGCTCTTCTCTGTCTGTCCCAAGAAATGATCGCCTTGATGACCGCAAGAACAAGTGCTTAGTTTGACCCAAGACACCGCCTGAAGTAAACCAAGGATAAAATCCGGTCTACCATTTACAGCGTGCATGGGGTTTTGAATATATCTAAGGGAAAAAAAGTTTGGGGGGAAGGTGCCCAGTGTCTTTAAAGAAACTGTCTTCATTTTCCTCCTCAGTTCCTAGGATCCAGTATAGAAATTCTGGAGGAAAACTGGAAAGAGATTAATGTATAATGTTTCTTATCTCAAAGCGGCATAAAAAAAGAATCACTAAACTTAGGAAACACAATAAAGGTCAAGATGAGACAGCAAAAGTCCAGATATGATAGAGATAGTTACAGCAACAAGAAAAGGGACTCCAATCTAGCATTTCTAGGACTATATTAGTAACAAAATTAATTTTGTTATGCCACTTTTCTATATGGGATAACAGAGAGGAGAAGCCCCAAATGCAGCAAACTATGATTTTACACTAAATTAATTATTTAAATTAATATATTTATATTAAATGCAAGAAAAAGGCCAGCATGACCAGCTGTGCTACAGGTACCATCTTCATGAACATATAATTAGTTCCACACACACTAGTACACTCGCATGGTTAAATAATGGCTTTAATCCATCTCTTGAGGAAGAAATATGCAGCCAAACAGTTAAAGTAGCACGAATCGCCGTATTTTTAAGCATTCAGTTTTTCTCAATGTCTCACTAAGTTTCACCATTGCCTTGGTTTAAGCAAGACAAATGGAATAACTGTTGAAGAATCAATCGTATGTACTTAAATATATGTTATTTCACAGCTAAACTGAGAATGAAGCTCATTGTTTTATAATAAAAATTACATCTGGTAACACAGAAGGAAGGAATTTTAGCTGTGCTCAAAACTAGTTCTTGTTTATTGGTGGTGTAATAAATACCTGAACCTCCGGGCCAAACCAAATCCAAGCTATTTCTGAAATCCATTGAAACGGCTTTTTTACTATTCTGTCATCTCATTGCTGCAGAGATACTATTTCTTTTCAGCATTTAGCAGACAGGAGAATCAGGTTACGCATCTTCAAGTTCTCATTTACGGCATCAGGGGTGTTTCAGCAATAAAGTTTACTTTTACAACTCCTTTATTTGATAATGAGAACATCCTGGTCAACCATGTTTGTCTCCATCAGGATGGAGCTCCCAAACTCGGCTCTTCTGTCACCGCTGAGAGAAACAGTGCCCAGCTACACGCACGTGCGTGTGCTCAGGCAGCAACTGATCTCAGTCTGGACATACTAGCATTTTAGTCTGGAGTATTCTTCAAACTAAAAATGACACGAGACACTTGTTTACACATTTAAAAGACACTTAAGTCTGCAAAATGTCCTCCCCGCTGGGGCGTAAATACGGTGCTAACCATTAGTGATGCAAATGTTACAGAAATCTTAAAAAACACCTTTTCAGAAGGCCACCTTGAAACTCAACTTCCAAATTAGCACCCCTGCCCACACAAAAAAGTGCTCTTTTCCAGGTTAACACATTTGCACCAAATAGTTATAGCTTTTGATCATCAAAATAAAGAGCAGCACCTCTACATCAGTGACACTAAACGCACACCTGACACTTAAGCAACCTTTCAGTGACTGCAACCAGACTTCAGATTTCAATTCCAACAGTATTCTTGCCCATCATTATCACAATAAAAATGGTATGAACATAACTGGCTGGCTGTTCAGCACGGCGGGGTAAAAAGAACTTAAAGTGAACTACAGCAGCTGGCAGCTAATCAAACAGCCAACACAGGCTTTCTTTTTATCAAAGGTCCCCATCTGGTTTCAGTTTACTGTCTGAGTTAGAAATCTAATTCTTTTGCTATGGCTTTAGCATCTTGATGAAAGGCAAGATATGTAACATTCAGTTGTTATCTATCTAGAACGCCATTCATCCTTGATAATGCCATTAGATTATCTTACTTCCCATAAGGACTAAAGGATATTTGGCAATATTACTCAGCAACAGTCAGATTTGCTCACTCTTCATTTCAGAAAGTTAACCCAGGCTTTTGATAGAGCTAACAAGAACAAAGAAGTGATCCTGCAAGTACTCCTTGCTCAAGGGTGATGTCCTACTGGCATCAGTGCTGCCACCACCACTTCAGTTAAGGAACGAAGTCTATAAAGTTTTGATACTCAAGTATTTCCTTCAGAGAATTTTACCGCTATAGCTCCTACCTTCTTTTGGCAAAATAGCTACTGCAGGAGAGTGGTCAATGACTTTATAGAGCTCTCTGTTCACATACTGATCAAGCTCAATAAGCCTTTCCGAGGAGGACTGTGACATTCCATGATCGCTTGTGATTATAACATTTATCACACCCCACAGCTTCGCTTTCTTCAGTTCAGACATAAGATATCCCAGCTTTTTGTCAATATCACTAATTATCGGTCCCATAAGTGGGTTTTCTGGGCCCAGGATATGGCCCATCTCATCAGGCTGTTCCCAATATAGGAGACCAAAGTTTATGGGTTCTTCCGATGTAAACCAGTCAATAAGCCTAGCAACTCTGTCTTCAAAGGAAACAGATTCATTGTAGGGCATATAATATGTAGGAAAGACTCCATGTATTTTCACATCTGTTCCAGGCCACATAGCTGCTCCGGTTTTATGTCCTTCCCCCTGGTTCGTTACCCATATTGGGCTGGCTTCTTCCCAGAACTTGGAGTTATAGATATTCATTTTGTTCAGAGAGAAAGTTTCATTCAGAATAGGATCATACATCTCATTAGCAACTATACCGTGGCTTTCTGCATAGAGACCAGTCACCATTGTATAATGATTAGGATACGTTTTCGTTATAAACACATTAGTGACCTGTTTGACGTGAACACCATTCTCCATGGCATAGTGAAAACTGGGCGTTGAGACTTTATAGATGTAATCCCATCGAAATCCATCAAAAGACACTAGCAACACTCTGGGCTGGGCTGGCTGGAGAGACAATGCTCTTGGAAGAAACAGTAAGAAAATTGCCAGGACTTTCCAATAACAGTTCATGGCTATTCTGGAAGGTATTCGTCCCCTCTTCTGAGGCAACGTGGCATCTGTTGAGCAGAGACAGAAGATTTGTTTGCATTAACCTGTTCATCAAAGTCATAACTTAGTTTTAAGAATGAGTAGCTAAACTATTCCTTATGTATTTACACAGCTTGCCTTACTAACACTGAGCACTCCACTGAGCACTGAGCACTCGTTCCTATGTAGGAACGAGACCTTTTACCTATCAGTTATATTGATATCCCAATTTCAGAGATGGGAAGTGAGACACTACAATTTGTTGAATGAAATGCAGTTTGCAAAGCAACTTCTTTGTCCAACACCACGGCCCAACCTCTTCCTTTTTTCTTCCTGGTCCCAATACAGAGGAACTCCTGCTCTTGCAATTTGAGAAGTTTTCAAGTATTTTCTGTACTCAAAGTTGTAAGAAACCGTCCTATGAGAAAGCTTCTGCTTGTTAAGATGTAAACAGGGGCAGCTCTCACCTTGAGAATAACACCGTCCATCTCCACCAGAACTTCATAACCCTCACTAAAATCTCTGGAGCATTACTTCTGTTCCGCGCAAGCGTGGCACCGAGACAACAGCACCACGTGGCAGAGCAGCGACGGGAGCAGGAAGTACACGGGGAACTGGAGGACTCTGCGCCTGCCCAGCTCCCATCAGGGAAGGAGGATCAGCTAGAAACCGTCACAGCTTCTCAGCCCAGATACTCGGTATAGGATTACTAAATGTGCCGAGTACAATTTCCAGTGGAGAAACTAGCAAATAAGCTTTGAATTTCATATACAGCAGTATATCCATTAAAAGGTTTTGCCGCTTAAAAGGTGTCAGATCAAGAGTTAGACAAACAAAGAGCAGGAACATCAGTTTCCCAACATTTTATCACATCTCTAACCTGATCATAGCGTCCCTACATAACGTAGCTCTTACTGATCAACTAATTCTGACACTTACTACCAAAGGTCACTTCTAGCGTACAGAAAGCTTTACAAACAAGAACGTATACAAGTCACACAAGTCAGCGTGCAGTTTAAGTTCTTCTAACTAACCACTTAGGTCTCTGAATGGATTGGAAAGAGGTGGTTGAAAGATTCAGTGATACAGTTGTGAGCCACGGGAAATACTACATCTTTCAAGCAAGCATCATGCTGCTTGCACTCAGGTAGCAGTGGTATTTGACTGGAAAGGACAGCTGAAGTATGCAAGGCACAAGGAATATAAGGCAAATCCCATCCGTGAACTGCATGAGATGGTGACTGCTACACACTGTACCCTAAAGCATTTGCTCCCTAGATAAACATTCAGCACTAATTCTGATCATATGACTCAAGAATATTGACTATTCCTAGCTATGACTGGCATTCCTTATCTAATAGCATGACATACTATGACACATAATTTCATATTGCATTGGGTTGTACTCCCCTGCCCGTTTCCCTCTGCCCTTCCCAAACACTTTCTTGTTCAAAACTCAGTTATCTAACTCTAAGTAAGATTCCCTGTAAGAACCCTCACGCAGGATTTCCCTATCTGTAACTGACCTAAAATTTCATGCTAATATTCCCCACTTCTTGCTCAACAGCATCATTTAACCACAAGACCAGATACTGTTCAATGCAATCCTGCACGTGGACTGTACTGATACGATACTCCACACAGTTCCCTTTAGGTTCCCATTTTCCAGCAATCCTTTGGAACACATCACTACTGAAATTCAGCTGGAAAACAGTGATTGTGTAACCAATAAATCCATATTAATATCCAGACTACAGAAACGTCCTAGGTAATATAAAAAGTTATAGCGTAACAAGCGTCTGAATACCACTGCAATGACAGAACGGGATTTGTCATTTTGGTAGAACACAAGGTATCTTCCATGGGAAATTTTCCTACTCCAATTCCCCAGCTAAATCTCTCATATATATATTTACACTGGAAAACAGCATAGGCACTGCTGACTTGCACGTAGTCAAGTGTTACACCGAACTTGCACGTCTCCCAAAATTAAAACCCAGGCCTAGAATCCTGCTAAGAACGAACTGACACTTCAGAGGCCTAATTCCCCTTTCCGCAAACACCACAGACCCAAAGGCTGCAGAATCACTCAGTGTCACCCCGTGCAGGATTTCTTTCAGCTGAATCCCCAGGAAGAAAGGGAGAACACGCTGTTCTGTCCATCTGCAGCCCCTCTGCCAAATTAAGCACAGCCCATGGCTGAGGCATAAATTCCCTGTTCTGGGGAGCGACAAGCATGAATTTAAGTCCTCTCAAGTGAAACCAGGTCTTCACTTCTGAATTTTACACAGTTAATGTCAATGCCACCTAGTCCTGTAATTGCACAATAATAAATAATGTTGTTTTTTCCCAAGGCCTTCCTATACTGGTCTGCACTGGATACACCCTGAGCACATCTACTGGCCTGGGTCTCTCCAGAAACCAGGCACCACAAAGCACAGCTTTGGGGTCTTGAAGGGGCTCTGGTGCGATGAAGGTGTCTGACTGCCCGGGGCCGGGAGCTGCCAGCCCGCCCAGCGCCCAGAGACCCGTTCAGCAGTCAGAGGAGCTCAGCACACAAACGAATGACAAGGGCAGACCGGCATTTCCCTGCACAGCAGCCTCCAACGGCGGCCGGACACCTCTGTGAAAGGTTTACCTCACCCTGAGGGGCCAACCCAAGCGACACCCGGGCTCAAGAAACCCCCGCTCCCACAGGCCAGAGACCACCTCGACACGCAGGGCAGCCCCCGCCGCGGCCCACCCGG